TACCTTCCCACAACAACAAGGAGATATTGTACCTATACAATACGTACCTTCCCACAACAACAAGGAGATATTGTACCTATACAATACGTACCTTCCCACAACAACAAGGAGATATAGTACCTATAAAATAAGTACCTATTCTATCTTTCAATAAATAACTATGCATAAAATGCTTAATACTAGAAATAAATAACCTTATAGTAATTAGAGTGTCTAATTAAATAAAAATGACATTTTGGTGTTATAAGGTCCTTTATTTCTAGTATTAATATGCCTTCTATACACCAATATGCACGACAGAAATTAAATAAAATGCTTACTGTGGTTTTAAAAACATTCAGCAAACAATAAAAGGTCTAAAAATCTACATAATATAATAATGGATTAGAGTTTCTGGTCAAGCTTCAGAACTAGTACGGAGTCATTCAAATTTAGGAGTTGTTCTGGTTAGAAATAAACCGAAAACCGGAAAGTGTTTAATGTTAAAAGATAAATAAAAACTGACAATGGAAAACATAATATATAACACTCAAGTATAACAAGGGACCTGTTGGTCCACTTAGGCTATCCTATCCACTAAACTAAACTACTAAAAAGCATTGAAATGGCTATCAAGCTTTCACTTAAACCTACTGCTTTAACCACATCTGAAATCAACCATATACTTAACTTTGCATTACATATTAAAACCACATCTGAAATCAACCACATACTTAACTTTGCATTACATATTAAAACCACATCTGAAATCAACCACATACTTAACTTTGCATTACATATTAAAACCACATCTGAAATCAACCACATACTTAACTTTGCATTACATATTAAAATTTTCAATAATAAAAAAAAAAGGTGTGTAATTTCTTAAGCTTAGCTTTTATGCTAGGAATTGTTCTCCCAAATCAGAGGAAACACTGTAACATCAATTAACTTATGGCTTATTTCTACCAGCTGAGCAAAGTAGAAAATTGGAAACAATGCTAGGAATTGTTCTCCCAAATCAGAGGAAACACTGTAACATCAATTAACTTATGGCTTATTTCTACCAACTGAGCAAAGTAGAAAATTGGAAACAATGCTAGGAATTGTTCTCCCAAATCAGAGGAAAAACTGTAAAATCAATTAACTTACGGCTTATTTCTACCAGCTGATCAAAGTAGAAAATTGGAAACAATGCTAGGAATTGTTCTCCCAAATCAGAGGAAAAACTGTAAAATCAATTAACTTACGGCTTATTTCTACCAGCTGATCAAAGTAGAAAATTGGAAACAAAGGTTCACGTAGCTCTCGAAGGTACAGCTTCAACACTCCTGCCACGGAATTAATATCACCTGTGTCAGTTACATCTGCAAGGGGGTCCTCTCCTATTAACAAAAGTTTCAAACTATCAATAAATTTGTGTAACAAAATTTAAGCTATTTTGAACTCAATTTAATCCTCTACTGCAGACATTATGACAATGTTATAGAAAAAAATGTTTTCTTTGAATTAGGCCTATATTGCACACACATACAAATGGTGAATTATATAGTTACCTGGAAGTAAGAGCATTCAGCTAAAGAACTGATGCATTACAATGTACAATATAGGATTAATAGGTATGGTACAATGTGCAATAGAGGATTAATAGTTCAATTACTGGAAGATGATTTTTGTTTTCTTGTAACCAATCACATTTATCAAATAAACAGTCAGTATTGTAATTAATAATTAATTGCTTAAGCACAAAGCATAACTTCATTCTGACCCTACCTCTTTCAAATGTATCCTTAAAATTGTTAATCTCAACCTGAGATCCTGACACTCGAAACACCCCCTGATGTTGTAAACCTAAAAGTGAAAAAAAAAAAATTCTGTTTTCATCAGAATGCAACTGGTTATTTACTAAACGAGTCTTAGTTTAAAATAATTTAAAATAACTAAGTCTACTTTTTAATAGTTGTAAACAAAAACCTTACATAAACTGATCTTTAAAATTTACTATATTATTTATCTGATATATTCATTCAACATTTATATCCTGGTGTCACCTTCACTAAGTTCTCTCTTTTTGTTTTAACCCAGTGGTTATTTTACAATATACCTTGTACTGAAAACAAGTCCCAGTTTCAAAACAGAATTTATATCATGATTTGTAAGAGAAAAATGAAGCAGTTTAATGAAGTTTAAACAGGTAAAAAGTGAAACCTAACAGCGAATTCCTTCATCTTTTAGACAAACTGAATTTGTTCGCAATACTATTGGTAGCTTCCCAATGTGTGCCTATGGCCAAATTCTGTAACCCAATAATCTCAATCTTCTTCAAAAATGCAACCACAATTGTTTGATCAAAATATTTTAAGCATTTTGTATTCTACCTCATTCCCGAAACTATTTTTTATGACTTAACTTTAAGGAACCTGTGTTGCAAGGTTTCAAAGAAAAACACAGCACATAGTTTTCTATTAATACCAACTAAACTACATACAGGTATTACAAAAATTGTCATTAGAGGAATTAAACACATTGATTCCGATATGTACTAGTGGGTACTAATATAAAATTTAGTAAATTATAAAAAGATTAACCATACTACACAAAATGTCTTTAATAACTTAACATAAAAAACTACACACAACCTGATGAGTAACACAGCGTAAAGATCTATCACTAAATCAACTGTGGATGGCTAGATGAGCAATTCACTATACAGATTAAATATAGAACCCAACTTTAATATGAAGGTTAACTCACCATATAGATTGATGATCCGTATACAGCTACGGACAATAAGTGGAATCTCCTGGTTTGTTGCCTGTTCAAATAAGAAATGGATTACTACTACTTGACAAAATATTAGATCACTTTCTTTTGATCATTTGTGTGTATGCGACACTGATATATCCTTTAGTATCAAATAAGAAATGGATTACTACTACTTGACAAAATTTTAGATCACTTTCTTTTGATCATTTGTGTGTATGCG